TACTTGAAATTGGCTGGCCACCTACCAGCACATCCTAGAAGTCACACAAACCTGATGCTAACATATGATACAGTGATCTGATGTGTGTTTCCAGCACTGTCTGAGAAAAGCCATCAATACTTCTGTTTAGACTTATTACCCTTGTATATTTAAAAGGCATAACTGGCCATATCAAGGAGCTAATTCAATTTACTACTACTTCCATCAAAGACAATAAAGAAACCCCAGACCAGTAGTCTGTGTAGCTCGCTACCTCCAGCAGTGTCACAGTCTTCAAAAAAAACCAGATGAGATCTTTGCAATATGAGCTTCTTAAGGTGGAAGTGGAAAGGCAAAAAGGGAGAAAAGACAGTGGATGAAAACTGCCTTATGATTTCAGCCTTCCAGTTTTACACCAGTTATAGTGTTAGCTTTTGTATATCTTATCTAGGATACTGCAGCCGTAGAAAATATTCTCATACATACAGTTTCTTCCTGACACTTACTAAGCTTCCTATTATTTATAGAATTACTTCATGTCATGCATTTCCTGTGGCAGAAAAAGCAAAGCGTTATATTAGGAATGAGAATCTTTTCTTTTACATGTATTTGTTGGCTCTTATAATGTTTCAGAGCACTCTCATTTTGCGTAGGAAGAAGCAAGAAGAATGCTATTTATGGTCTAGTCATTATATATTCTGGAATGTCTCTTCCCTCCTTCTGATTCAGGAGTCTCAATACTTTAAGTTAGGAACTTCTCGCACATTCTTCCTGTGATTCATCTAGCAATAGTAACAATGAAGCTTTTACAGAATGTTTTGTATCTCAGTGAAATATATCCACACATAAATGGGTATCACATCACAACCTTGAATATGTGACGTTCTGAATACATACATGATTGTGTTTTTATAAGATACAATAACTTAGTATCATGGAGATAAGAAATACACTATCTCCAATTTTGTCATCCTCTTCCAAATAGATTTTAGCAATGAACATTTCCCTTATTCACTCCTACTGTTCATGTGATACAGTACTAAAACAAGCAAGTCTTGTGCCTGTTTCAGATCATCCTTGTTTTCTCTATGATTTACTGCCATATTTTTTGATGCTGGTTAGACTAGATACATTGCTCCAGGCACTAAATGGCCTAAATTGAAGAAGCTCTGCTGATGGAATCTTTTTGTTGACTTTCATTTTGCACTAAAGTATTTATCTCTCAAAGTTACAGGTCTGAGAACATGTCATCTTATAGTGCAGACCAGAAGAAAAAAACATGCCTAACTATACTACGTTCTGGAAACTCAGTATAGATCCTAATGCTATTATTTAAAAAAAAAAAAAAAACAAACACCAAACCAAACCCAAATCCAACCCACACGCTATTATATCTTCTGTAAAGATACTTGTAATGTCAGTAATATAACATCTCTCTCTAATAGTTTTGTGTTGAGAAAATACTAAAAATAGTGGAGGGTTTTTTAATAATGTCTCTCAGTTAGTTATATATTCAAAGACAACAAAATACAGGCTGTCTAGTTTGCTATCTCAAGTGCAAAGACTCATATCAAAAGTACAAGGAATGATACTGATGCTTTAATTTGCTTTTCCAAGCTACAGGGGTCCAATAAGCCAAAGTTCTAAAATGGTCTTGGACTTTAGAGCTAATAAAGGCTGCTCATAGTCTTTACATCTACATAACTGAAATAATGAAAGTAAAACCAGATTCTGTATGCACAGCTTCTGAAGAGCAGGAAAAAAGAGCATAATTACTACTCTAGAAATTTTCTACCTGTATGGTAAATTTACTCAGCATTAATAGCTGAATAGTTTATTAATAGATTTTTCATTTTTTTCAGAAAGCACAGATTATCTAAAAAAAGGTTAGCAAAGAAAACCTACACAGTATTTATACATGAGTATACACTCGCTACGTGAGTTTACAATGGCAATCTTTGAAGTTCTAAAAACACAATTGCTTTCACAATAGTTGCCATTAATGAGATAAATAATTTTCATTAGTATCAAAGTATGGCCACTTCGCACAGAAGACCTAAAAACTGTAATGGTTCACAGCTAGAAAACAGCACCAGCAATCACTTACTATAGACACACAGTACCAACAGCGTTTCATGCTAGAAGGATTTTGGTTGAAAAAACTTGAAATACTTATGTACCTGTGAGCTTGAAAATCTTTGCCTTCTATGCAAATATTAATATCTGGACAACAGCACTTCTTGTAGAGCATTATTAAGTCTTCTCCCAAGACAGATGCAGTTTCTAGTTTGGAATTACCTGCAGATGGGAAGAAATAGCTATTTTCACTTTGTCTGGTATAGACTAGACTATTGTCAGTACATAGACAACTTAAAATATCTGAAAAGAAGAATGTGACATCATGAAAAATTTTAATATCGCATATTCAGCCTAGAATTTTCCTTGAAAGGTTTTCCAGTCCTTGCATTTTACTCGTCGTTTTGACTTGAGATACCAGAAATTTGACCAATGCTTCATATCTGAGATCTACAGAAGAAGTGCTACAGTGACTCTTTTGTAAGTAAGTAGCCAGCTCAATTTTTCCTACAGAGACCTGGTGCCTCTGCATTAAAGAAAAGTAGACTCTGAAGAAGCTCAGGGTCATGTAGTGCTACAAGCTTCTGCCTGAACAGATCTGTTGCTTGATTCTATCTTTCTGACACAGCTGTAGCAACCAATACCTCTGGTGGAGATGCAGTTACACTCTTCCTTGTGTTACTTATTTCATTCACAGCTGTAGTAGGGAAGATTCTGAAAGATTCCAAAATCCTCAGAGACCAACAGTGGAACTAGTGTAATTTGCTAGAAAAGGAAAGGAACGGAGAGAGAGATTCTGCTCTGTGGAAGTCCCTCAAAGAGTGGGACTTGTGGAAGTCAAACTCAAGTTTGCTGTATTACAGAGAAAAGATGGGATGCAATGTTGATGGACATGCCCGACACCCAGCAAGTCCTGTCAGTTATTATGCTACACATCGGCTGGGAACCACTCCTGCCAAGCTTCTGCAGCAATTCATTTTTTCAAAGTGTGAGAGAATGAGGTAGGCCGTAGCAAAAAATATCCACGCAAGCTGTGTTATAACAATAGCTTTAATCTTTGCCTACATTTTTACATCTGTGTAAGTCTTTGAATAATTATTTAAAAGAAAAAAAACCCAAAAATGAACAAAGAAAAGTATAATTCCAAACCTACCTGCAGTGGCTTTTTTGCTTTCTGTATCAACAACTACTTCTGGAATTTCCTCTTCAATACAAGGCAAGCGAGCAACTTCTTTCTCCGCAGCTCCACTTGGGGTATTCTGATCAAGAGGTGTTCTTTTGTCATCTCCAAGACCATTTACATTTGTTTGAGCGTTCTGAAGAGCAGCAATGTTGTTTTCTTGTATTAATTTGGGTTCCAGTACTTTTTTCATCATAGCCAGCTCCTCAGCTTCAAGATTTTTATCAGATGAATATACAAGCCTAGAGATGACACCAAGTTTACTCCTGTAATTTTTTAATTGAGCAAAACAAGCAAATAAAAAATGACTTTTTTTTGCCTAACAAAGTTTGTGACCAGAAAACAAAAGCTGGACTCTACAGTGCTTAATATTAAAAAAATCCCAAACTTTCAAAAACTGTATCTCCAGATAACTTATTTCTGCAAATAATGCATAAACAAGCATCACAAAAGCATAAACAAGCATCACAAGTAAAATGTAACATCAGGTTAAAAGGAACAAAGCTTTCTCTCCCTGAGTTTGCTTTTTTAATTAAAGAAATTTTTGTTTCCTCTTTATAGCTCATCTAGTGGCAAAACCGGAAGCAAGCTGTATCAGTAATGACTGATGAGTGATTTATAAATCTTAGTACTACCAAGAAAAGGCATTTGATTGCCCTTTAATATCACCAAATTTACAAACCCAAGAATATAAAAACCTTCTAACATCAAGGTTACAAGTACAAAACCATAAGACTGGTATAGAATTATAAATGAATGGTATTCAAGACATACGTTTTAATCTCAAAGGAAGTGCTTGAAAGCATGAAAATTTGCAGTTAAGATTACCCAAGAGCTTTCACTTTGCCCATATAGTAATTCCAGCTTCCCACTTTCCCATCTGTTTCACCAGCTTATTTTTGGCTCAAGATCTGGAAAGGCTAACAAAGCCTGCAGTCTGTGACTGCAAAGATCTTGTATTTATAGAAAGATACTGCACTCCAGCAACTTAATGGAGCCTTAAAAAGTCAATGTGAACAGATAACATCCTTTATCAGTGCTTTCATACCATATAGATGAAGTTAGCAAAGTTTAACAGAAGAGCTACAGTTACTTTGGATTTAGCAGACATGTACTTACAGATCTGCCTTTAGTCATTCATTCCATGGCAAAGAGGCTTTATTGTTAATACTGGGAACATAGTAATTTGAGTATGCTATCTGAGCACTGTCCTCTAAAGGGGCAGGAAAAAGACACAAAAGAAATCATCTTCCTACTTAAGTCCTGTATTTAAAGGATTGACTTAGATAGAATTCTTTTGTCTGTGTGATACAGGTTCTCACCAAGAGAGAATGACAAGAAACGAGAATGTAGAGAATGGGAATTTTAATATTTTATTAGATTTTTGGAAGCAAGGGCCGGAAAACGTGTGACAAGAGTAATAAAATTTCACATTGAAAGAGTAAGGTTGGTGGACCCTCTTTACACAGGTTTTTAAGGTTGTTGTACCTGTATGTGCTTTCAGAACTCCTAACGTGTGAACTTGGCCTGACCACCTATTGCTTTTCGTATTTACTGTGCTTTCCAACCCAGCATAATGCTAGCATGAGGCGAAGACAAGTAATAACATGCCATATTACCAAGAACAGACCACAGGTTGCTTGCCAGAGCGGGAAGACTTCGCAATTCTTTAGAAAATTCAAGACCATGACTTCCACACATTTCCGCGTTCACTGCTTCGCAGTACTTAGTACATCTATGTTTTACAGCTCTATGGCAGCAGGACTCAAGAATACAAATTCAGAGTAGAAACCCAGTTAACCTACAGATTTCAAAATTCCACAAAAGTATTCTTAAGTTTTGTATTGAAATTGTTTCTCCACATTGGATCTTCCAGGAAATGTCACTTAAAGGCACATAGACAATGCCACTACTAGACAAAATCCGATCATTCCTATTTTATCCCCTGTATCTTCAGCAGACGTAAGCAAATACCACAATTACAGAAGTAAACTGGTAACACAATCTAAAAACTGCAGGAAGACCCCTAGTAAGGGTTCGTCAACTGGTAACACAATCTGAGTGTGAAAAACTGCAGGAAGACCCCTAGTAAGGGTTCGTTGAAAGAAAATTGCCATTTGTAACATGTTAGGTTCAATTTGCACTGGAACTTGACTTACCTTTCCGTTGCTGCGGAGCTAATGCACGCTCAATGTGTAAAGGCAGTACAAATTGACTTTGAGGGAGAAAGAAAATTAGCGGCAACAGATACACTGCTTTGCCATAAATTCATTATTTTAATAGTCTTGCTTACTTTCTGCCAGTAACTGAAAAACATATCCATAGGGATTGTGATAAGCTAGGCAGTGAGGCAACAGTCTCCTGGGAATCCTCAGGGTATTTTCAGATAATCTACATAAGAAACCTCAGGAATGCAATTCTATTATCACTAGGGCTCAAGTCAATAAAAACCACAACTAGGAACTCTGTAAATAAAACAAGTGACATGCTGTTAAACCAGAACTAAGCAACTGGTTTCTAGATTTGAAACCGTTACTCTATTTGAAATAATTCTTTTTCCTGTAAAAAGTAGAGGAACCTTGATTGTTTCAGTTAACGTTTAAAATCCAGCCACAGTCCTGGATTTATTACTTCCAGAAACTCAGCAGAATATCTGTATATTACAGCCCTGCTTAATACAGACTGTAAATTTATTACTCTGAAAGACTCATGGAGGCATCCATTATTCTGCTTCACAGACAGCAATAATGTTTTTAGCTCATCTTTTAGAAATTCTCCTTTATCTCACTTAAATCCCACTAGATGTTCTTTCCAGAATGGAAGATTCTGCAGTTTTCTAAAACCTGTTATAGAAAACTTTTCTTGGCAACACCCTTTATTTTATAGGCTCATTTCTAAAGGCAGAGAGAAGTTTTCTAGACTCCTGGATTTTTCTATCTCCTACAGAGTATCAAATGGCACCTTCCTGCATAAATAAAAGCTAGGGAAATCTTTTATCCACAGCAAAACACATAGCTCAGACCTTGGAGCTCAGATGTTTTAGTGAAAAAGTAAAAGCATCTCTTTCTTTAAAACACAGCTGCTGTAAGAAACCAGGACCCTTACTGCAGAATTATGGTATGAAAAGTTTTTACTCTTCCAGACCTCTTGAGTAGGCATTGTTCAATGTGACACCTTAGTTTAGTAAGCTAACATGCAGAAGATACAATTTTATAAAGTGATAAATTTCTTCTTTAAACCAGATAGAGGTATCATCAGGAAAGTCTTAGAGCTTGACCAGTTTTGAACAGAGTTAAGTATTTAGAAGAATGCAATTTTCATAATCATCTGAACAATCTAAGGTGGCATAAAAATGTCCCAGTTCCTCCAACATCCCTAATGATGATCGGGGAAGTACTAGATTGTACTTGCTGTGACCAAACAGCTTCCTAGAACATATAAGCAGCATGGAGTTATTTTGTTTTTACAACCCAGAGCTTACAGAGACATCTCAAAATGCACTTTGAAGAAAAGCATATACTTTGTGGGTGGTTTGCAAAGTACTACGAAAACACTAAGTAGCCCAACCAAACTCACTTTTGAGCATCTAAGGATTTCATTCACAGTTTTGTTTTTAAAGGTGTCCTGAAGTTTTATCTCCCATTTTTGTTGTTATTTCCAAGAACACTGAAAGTCACCGGAATTAACACCATCATCACCAAATTTCACTGAAAGCTGTTAGGACAGCCTCTCCTATTGTCCCTAAGTAGTTGTTAACCAAATAAAGAAAATTTCCCAATTAATTAGGCATCGACCTTTCAAATGCTCCCTCCAGCAGCTTCCACTTGGCTTGGAGCGAGAGTTCTTCACCGAGAGCCCCTCTGGAGAAGACCTACCATCTTCTCCTTAAAGTTATACGTACACATACACATGTCATTGATCTCACTAGATAAGTGCTTTTGAGTTCTTAGACACTCGCTGTTTAAACAGACAGGATCTTGTACACGATGTTATGGATATGTTGTGTCTATGCCCACATTTGCAAAGCATTAGTAAAGAGATTACAAAGCAGGCCTGAACAAAAGCCATTAATGCCAGGGGAGAGGACTTTTTTTTCCTATCATCTCAATGCTTTTTTTCTATCAGCTAGCAACACAGACTGATTGCTAGTGCTAAAGTCTATCAGAAAACCAAAGTTTCTTCATCATAAATACTACGCATAGCATGAAGCTGTCAGCAAAAGAGTCCGACACATACAAAAAGGGGAAATTCTGCTGTTTGTAAGTGCATCAGTTTAACTGCCCTGAAAAAAGCTACTACGGTAACTTTAGAATAGAGGAACAAGTACAGACACCCAAATCAGGATACTTACTTGGTAGTGTAGGGGATAGTACAATTAACGAAAACAGACAAAACAAATTATGTTTTTCTTTTATTTACAAGTTGTATAGATGCTGTGTGTTGCTGCATCCTATTCAAAGAGGAACTTGGCATTGCACATACCAGAACTTCAGGTAGTAACTAGATTAGCACCGAAATATCTTCTGTACACATGTAAAATACCATGTTACACAGTTTTACTTAAAGCTATGTGTTATCACAATTAAATGCCAAAATAAAACCAAGATCTATTAACTTATCTAATAAAAATAACACTGAGGCTGTAGTCTCTGAACCACTCCCTGCCGATAGTTTTAATGCATTGATGTCTTTAGCAAACCCAGCTACAGCAAATACTCTCATGCACTGCATTTAACCTTGGTGGACTTGCAGAAGTAGTTCAGCAATACACCTATAGCAGTGAATCGTTGTTAGTACAAGTTAGGCATGTCTTATGCGCAACTTCAACCTACCTTAATCACTTCAGACTCTTCTCTT